CATACGCTTTTTGGACAACCAAACACCTCTCCTGGCATCATCTCTGCTCCAATCTTCCAGGACAATGCCATAAATACTGAGCTTCCAGCAAAGCTGTTATTAAACATACAGATACCTGCATAACTCCTGCATCCCCTTGCCAAGATTTCTGGGGTTCATCTCTCTGTGGGCTCAGGTGAACCTGGAAACGGAGAGGTGAGGGGAAGGGCTGGTGCAGGAGGGGCGGCAGCCGCGGATGTGCCCCAAAGCCAGTGCCTGGATCCATCCTCCCGGGGGCTACAGAGGGAGGTGCTGCCTCCCAGCATGCCCCAGCAGCTCCATGGTGGTGGAAAGGATTCAGGGGAAACTGCTGCACATGAAAAGAGCAAAATCCATTCATCCCAGCTCACTGCCCCTGGTGAGGCACAGGTGGGAAGGGGCATCAGGCCAGGCTCCGGGAGATTCTGAGCTGTTTGCTCAGGAGGGAGGTCAGTGCAACTCTTTGTCCCAGAGATCAGGCAAAGCCAAAAGCAAGTATCTATCTCCAGTCAGCATTTGCAGGCAGAATTGGAGACCTATTTTGTGCCATGATTTGAAGGGGATTATTTTCCTGCAGTTGTAAACCAGGGTGAGAAGGTCACGAACACAGGGTTAGAGGTTGGTTTTCTCATTCCAGTTTCTTCCATACTGTGTGAGCCTTCCTGCCACACACAGCTGTAAAATGGGAATTCAGTAACTGCTGTAATAGTAGGCCCTTATGCAAAACCTCCCCCCAAACCAACCACAGAAGAAAACCATCTAGATCTGTCTCGTGTGTGTTTTCTAGGTGTAACTGCTTTAGAGCTATGACAAGTATGTTTCCTTCTCCCTGCTTAGATGTAGCCTCTAATTTTGATACCATGAATGCGACAGGTTGTGAAGAGACTCTCTGGCGTGGGCTCAGCTGTCAGAGTTTACAAAGAGAACAGTTCTGAACACTGAAAGGGAATTCTGAGCATCAGCTAACCTGGTGCTGCTCCTGATCTCACAGAGCTGTTCCACAGGTGAGCTTTGAGCATCCAGTGTTTCCAAATTAGCCCCTCAGCTCTCCCCAGCTGCCAGGCTTGCAGCTAGTCCTGCTGTGATGGAGGTCACCTGGGAAAAGAGGGTGGCAGGGCTTGTACAGCACCAGTATGTAGGTAAAGCAGTCTGGATCAGAGAGGAATACAGATGGTCAGGGCTCTGGACTGTCAAGGCTTACTGAAGGGTAAGATAGAAGCATTCATCTTACAGAGGTTTTCTTAGGAGTGTGTCACAGTGTCACCCTCCCCCGGTCACTCACTGCCCATACACCCCCTTCAGACTGAACACAGCAAACCCCCAGAGCCTGGCATGGCTGGCACTGCCACACTACCCAGGCTGATAGGCAGGGAGGAACGCTGACTGTCGTGCCAGTTGCCCTTCTCACCTCTGTACCATTTACCTCAATCGCACACCTACCACTAAATGAATGCCATAGTGAAATACGAACCAACCGAGTCCTCACTAGTCAATGAAACCTGTGAATTTTAAACATGTTACTGAAATTCCTGTACCTTGTCTGTATATACGAGTAATAATTGTTTGTGGGATTAAGCGTTTTGGTGTCTAACCCCTAGGACGCTTGTCAAAAACCAACCATCTCATTCCATCAGTTGTGGCTATTCAAAACCATACCCCCTGTTGCCACACTGACTGGACAATCCTTTTCTTACACTTGTCCTGACAGAGCCTCTCTGCACTACAGAGCCTCTCTGCACTACAGAGCCTCTCTGCACTGCAGAGCCAGCAGCAGCCTCCTGCCCCACTCTGAAACCTCTCATGCTCATAGGAGGAAGAGCAAGTTGTAGGCTTGGGTCAACAGATTTTGCAAATGCAAAACTTCTCCAATCTTTGAAAATACTTTTATTGCCCAGGGGGATGGAGATGGGAGGGTTTGAAATGCCATGTGATGAAATAAAACATTTAGAAACTTGGAAGATACGTATCACGTAAACAACATGTTGTAGCTGCATATTAATTTTAAAAAAGGAGAAACATTAAGTTGGAAATACAATCACAAGAGACATTTCTTGAACAAATACCAAACAACAGAAGAACAAAGTGCAGTCAACCCATTTCAGATGTTCACTGGACAGCAAGGATGAAGAAAAGCATCTATGAAAGCATCTGCGAATGCTATGAACGCCTGGAGCGCTTGACTCCTGTAATTATTTCCTAAACCAGGTAGAGTGCCTATGTTAGCTATATTAACAGTTTAGATAAATGACCTGGAAAAATGAAACACAACAGAGTAGTGTGTGCACCGAGGAGAAAAGGGAACCAACCAACTGAACTGTTTTGACGTTTTTAGATTAATTTATCATTTATCTGTAACAAGAGTTGCCTGTAGCAGTAGTTCTTGCAAATTGCAAGGTCATCAAAGCTTTCACATGCCCTTCTGAGCAGCAGATAATTAAAGGCGTATCTAAAGCAAACTCAAAGCATGACTTTTGCACGGAAAGATGTCACTGGTTAGCAAAGCATTGACAACAGGGTACAGAGGGAGTGCTGAACTGTCCCCATTTCTGCTGATACTGGGATAATTAAAACTACAAGTCTGTGTCTACAGATAGCACTTGCTTGCAGACATTCCATGGTTTACCCTGGTCTGGTTACTATGTTTTTGTTATTCTGGCTGAAGTCGGCCCTAAGTCAGACCGTTCTGGAGGAGGTACATTGGAAGCGTGGTTCTGTTCCCTAGAATACGTTCATGAGGATGAACACATCATCAGAATTCACACAGAGAAAAAGCCTGAGCCTGTTACCATTGCCAGTGGCACACAGCACTATTGCTGGACAGTAAGAAAAGACCTGCATCAGGGTAATTCATTAGGGTCATACTTGATCACTTATGGACCACAGCGACTTTCTATACCCCTTCAGTCACATCTGTCACCTTGAATAAATACGGTCACATAAGACAGAGCATATTTCCTCTTGTACACTGACATTTCAGTAGGACTTGTAAGAGCTGGAAAGTTAAGTTTAGCCGAGCTATGCAAAGGTATTGACCAAAGAAATACATGGGCATCATGTGAGCTTAACTTTGTCATGCTAATGTCCTACTGCAGACCCTTCTTCAGATGGCTCCTTAGCTTAGTTTACAGTTTTGGCACTCAGTAGGTCACTGACAAGAAGTATGACGGAAACCTCACAACTTATGAACTCAAACAGTCATGGTACTCAGTAGAAATACAATTTTTGGCTACTTTAACAGATCCAGAACCTAATGGACACTTCCATCACCACATTCACTATGAAGGCAACAACAATAATTTTATTTATAGTGGACACTTGGTTGGAAGTTTTGTATTTGCACCTTTCTTTGCAGCATAGTATGCACCAACAAACTAAGAATTGTGCACATAAGCAGAAAAAAGTAAGGAAAGCATGGCATGGAAATGTCCACGCTAAACTGCATAT